CTGGACTTTGGCTGAGCAGCTTCCCGTGTTCCAGGCCAGCTGGGAGTGGACAGAACATCCCGTGCCTTCAGCAGCATAAATCACAGAGCATTTGCCTTGAGCCTTACCATGATTTTCCTGCAGGATTCTCCTAATTCCTTGTCTTCTAAAAGCCATTCCTTCAGATTTAGTCTGTATTTATCACTCAGATGCTTTAACTTTTTACAGTTCTCCCATACTAGAGGAAGGGCTGTTGTATACAAAAGCAAATGGTCATTCTTTCCAACTCCTCAGCATTTTAAAGCTATCTCCTGCTGTCTCATACTTAATTTTTATCCATTAGGAGTCCAAAGCTAGTCTAATACCGCAAAAGGATGCTTAGGGTGACTTACCTGGTCAGTAGTTTGAGTTGCTTTAGAAAGCAGTTGTCAGATGTGCGCTGCTTGAAAATACACATCCTTTTTCACTGAATGCATGGATTTTATGGAATTGTATTCTGTTGGGTCATCACTTGGGCTGTCCTAACTTTGAATCTATTAGGGAAGTATTTTTTATTCTAGAGAGGCAAAAAAAGCATTGGATTTCACCCTTCCTAGGCACTGATTTTCACCAACATTCTTTGCTCTCATGGAAGATTCTAAAAAAAGGATTGTTTCATGATTCCAAGTACAAACTTTAAGGGCCCATCAAAAACTGGTGAAACAAATTATATGAATTCTTTTGGGATTTTTGTCCTTAACACTGAATTGTTTCATTGACCAAGAGTGCTGAAGCTACCTGCAAGCAGAGGAGGAAGAAGCCTGAAGATAACTGTGCAAAAGCAAGTGCCAACCCAGCCATGATGGCTGGGAGAGTCTGAGTTCTCAGCTTTTGGTTTTCAACTTCAATATTTCCTTCCCATATCACAAAGTGAGAGTATCCTTCAATGTAAACTTAGGAGAAGCCAGATCTTAGAAGAGGGAAGACTTAGTGTGGGAAAGGACAGTGAGTCCTGACAGTCACAGCACAGTGCTGGCAGCTCAGCATCCCAAAACTAATCCTGCCTGTGGGTGCTTTTCCTCGTTTGACCTTGAGCAAGTCAGACAATGAGGGTTTTTTTGTGTGTCTCAGTCTCTGTAACCAACATGGGAATACTATGTGTGTATATCCCTGGGTCTTGCCTAGATTAATAAATCAATATTTGTAAAGTAAGGCTTGATAAATGCTAACTGTATTACCACGTGTACTTGAACCTTGTGCAGAACTTTGGGAGTGCGCCTGCATTTCTGCTCTGTGAGTGAATGGGGCCCAGGCCAGGGTGGTCAGCAGCCACAGAGACAGGTTTGGGTCATTTTCCTCCTCCCATGGGACTGCCTGTAGCACATATCTGCAAGGAGGTCTTGAATACAACTTTTCCACTTAACATGCTCCCCCATCACCCACTGTCAGCAATGAGATTAAATTCTGTGCGACTGCAGAGGACGTTGCATGATTAAAATCCTCTTTTAGAAATTAATATGTACCATCTCTCCCCAGTACTGTGCCTCCTCTCAGAGAAGGGTATTGTCTCCTGAGCACTCAAGGTGTGAAAAGCCACCCAGGGAAGCTGTCTATCTTTGAATTTTATGCTGTTGCACAGTTGCTCCAATGAGAGCTACAACTGCATAAAAATCACAGGGACTTGGGGACTTCTCCCTCCACAGGGTCAGGAGATGTGGGGGAAGTTTTGCAGAACAATTAATAGAATAGCAAAAGGAGGGTGGGAACTAGAAGTCCTGGTTACAGGACTTGAAGTTCTGTAGAAAATGTTTCCTGAGGGAGGGTAGTCAAAGTCAATAATCACCCATTTTCCTTAGGAAACTTTGGATGTCCTGGGAAGAAAATAAAACAAAACTTTGTTTCCAGGTATTGCCCAGCTTTTCCCAACCTTACTGCCTGTGTCAGCCCAGAGAAATACAGTGATCAGAGTGTTTATAGATCCAAGTTTAGTATTCATCATGCATTGATGCAGCCCACAGAAGGGCTTTACTTGCATAAACTCAACAGTAGATGGAATTGGATGTTCAGGGCTGCTGCATTCAGTACAAACTGAAGCTCTTGAGCCATCATTTCCAGTCTGCTTCAGGTCCTGGCAGGCTTTGTGGCATGACCAGGATGTGCTTAGTTAGGGTGAGTTTTCCTGGACTGACTGATGCTGGCTTTCTGATGGAGCCTTTCTAGAATCAGCTGAAATTGCCCTCCAGGAGTTTGAGGCACAGGGACAAGTGCCCCAGCTGGAAGGAATGTGGCGTTTTACAGGTAGGGAAACTGAGGCACGAGGGTTTGTCCCATTCTCTACATCAGTGCTCCTTTTTCCCATGCTGGGCATTCCCTGTCTCCCCAGGGACGAAAGGCTGGAGAACACAGCCTTTGTGTTCTGACTCTGAACACAGATACTTTTACCACAGGGACTGGATTATGTGGCAGGCTGGATTTGTGCTTGCTGCTTCATGTTCTGAGTGTGTGTTTCTGCTAAAGCCTTTCCCTGGCTGCTGGCTGGATCCTGGTTTCCAAGAGCTCAGCCCTGTTTTTCCTTCTGGAGGAATTTATAAGAACCCTAACTCAGAGCAGCCCTGTGGTTTCCAAAATTTAATCTGGCTTTCCAAAGCTTTTAGCAGAAGGGTTGATTTGGGTCAAAATGAATGCAAACACTTGTGTAGACCATTTAATGTTTAGGTTATGGACCTGTTAAGGCAGCAGGATAATCCCTTTAGATTACCCGTGTAATTCCTAGTGAATATTTATTTTAAAGTGACTTCAGTGCCCTTAGTCATTAGCAAAGCTTGGTAATGCCTCTCACAGCTGCCAGGCTCAATGCAACAGCATTTGTCAATGGGATGGCTTCTCCTTTTGTTCCCTCCTTTTTGGTTGGTTTGTTTTTGAACATTTCTCCAACTCTTGCCGGCTCAATCCCATGGGCTCACCTCTAATCACAGGGAACCCTCGGAGCTGCCTTTGCAGCGCTGGTTTCCTCTGGAGCAAGGCTGGGGAGGGAGTTTAATCCTGCCGAGGGTGCGGGTGCCGGGCTGGCTGCGGGGGAGAGGACGGGACGGGCGGGTTCAAGGACGCGCTCCCGCTTTAGTGTGCGCAGACATGCTCCCGCCGCCTCCCTGATTGGCAAGGTTAGCTCCCGCAGCCTGCAGCTTTTCCAACTGATTTGATTAGACCCACTACTTTATCCCATTCCCTCCCCCACTGCCT